AGATAGCAGGTGCTATCTTTGTGGGGGGGGGGACCACGCGGCGGCGCGGTGCTCTCTTCGTCTGCTCCTCTAGGGCTTAATCCGGTTTACGGACTACTTGATTTTTCCTCAATGGTCCTGCCGCGATGGCTAGAGCACAGACGATTAGAGAACGGGTGAATGCCCTAGGACTAAGCCTTGGAGAGGAGAGGGACCCGCGAGAGAGCGCAGAGGCGGTTTAAAGGGCTGAGTTCAAGTAGTCCGTCGACCGGCTTAATCCCATTGGCAGTTACTATTTCGCCATCACGTGGCAGTTTCGAAATACGCGCCATCGGGGACTAAGCCTTGCAGGAGGAGACGAACAGAGCGCCGCGCCGCCGCGTGGTTCCCCCCCCCCCCCCCCCCCCCACAACTAAGATAGCACCGGTAGCAGATCACTAGGATAAACGTTGTTGCGATATCTTAGGGCCGCGGCCATAGCTTGCTACCGCTTTGCAGTTCGAATGTGGAGGCAATACGTTTTGATCATACGGCAATCGCACGATCAGCATATGTAGTCCACTCGGCTCGACGTGGTTCGGGTGGGGGAGGCAGTCGCCGCGCGGCGTATGGCATGTTTGCGTCGTCTTAGGGCGCATGTATAGGCCGATGTCATAGTTTGCGAATCGAGCGATTCGCTAGCGAATCGCTGGATCCGAGCGTTGCGCCAGCGAATCGAACGTTGCACCAGCGAATCGAACTTTGCGCCAGCGAATCGAACGATGCACCAGCGAGTCGAACTAGTACAGCGACTCGACACTGTTTAAAAGGAAGTCCATTTTAAAGGAAGACACTGTTTGAAAGCGGCTGGACTTTCTTAACATTGGGTCCCGCCACTTTCAACAGTGTCGAGTCGCTGGTACATCGTTCGACTCGCTGGTGCATCGGTCGATTCGCTGGCGCAACGTTCGATTCGCTAGCGAATCGCTCGATTCGCAAACTATGACATCGACCATAGTCGGTCGTCCTACCATAATGGTCGTAACTGTCGCACAGCATTAGAGGCGTATCGATCGTCAGAAGTGCGACACCTACGACCGTTACGATCGTACGACTGTTACGATCTATGTATCGCACGATCAATGCGCAGCTACTGCTCCACACTACAAAGGGACTCTTGAGAAATCATGACGCGCATGGACATTTAGGACTTCCGGCTGACATATATCACACTTCTTCATTTGAATTTTCACGCTTTTTTGATAGGTTGATCGCAAAGATTCCCGTCCCGACTCTCGCAAGTCGTATTCGAAGGATGATTGGCCGCCATTTCGGCCCATTCCGCTTTAGAGCAACTTGGCCCAACAAATGATGGTAGGATCACAAATACACTTTATGAGACGTCTTAATTTTTCTTCTCTTTTAGCAGGCCTCTGAGGTGACCAGAGCCAGTAACTGCGGGGAGCGAGGTAGAGTTTAAGGGATCTGTCTGATTACCGGCGCCTCCTGGTACTCCCAATCGTGGAGCAGTTTACGCATCAAACTCTACTACGACTCCACATCGAAAAGGAAACCAGGATGAGTTGAGAAATGCGCCTGGCTGGTGTTCAAGCTCCCTACCGCCCTGCCCTTCTTTACCCAAATGTGGTGCACGGTGGCGGCGCACACCTCTGATCTCGAGGTCTTTGACTATGAACACATTGTCAAGCGAATGATATGGCGCCATGCACTCTTTCACAAGGATCATGCTTGTTTTGTCTGTTTATTTGGCGTTTTTTCGTTTTCAAAACAGCACATTCACATTTACGTATAAAATGGTTTCTGGAGAAACAAGTGGTTTATACTGGTAATGAAAGTGTTGAAGAATTGGTATCTATTCATGGAAAAATACAAAAATAGTTGTCGCAGCGCAAGCGCTGCGGCGGTCATCAATATTTAAGATTACAAGAAGCGTTGGGCGGGAAACCTCCCAATCAACTTGACACATGAATACTTCACAATTCCAGCCCCTACAGAATTGGCGATGATCTTGGATCTGCCTTCGCCATGGGTCTTGTGGGTGGCTCAATCTCCAGGCATTCTGGCTATAAGCACGCCGCCTTTAAAGGACAAAAATTGGTGAGTTCATTCGCTAGCTAGTTTTCACAGGATTTGGAAGCTGTGGCTCGATCCTTCTAATTCAAGTTTATTTTTTCGCAAGTTTTTGATTTATTACTTTACCTTGGCATCTGTGAATGTCTGCACTGTGCTTTCAACGTAGCGCATGTCACGGAAAACACCACCGCTCCATGGTTTTCTGAATATCTGCCATTCACCCTTTTTTTATGGCGGCTGCTGCATATTATTAGGTTGTTGCAGTAAGTCCCACTCGGATTTAGTTTCACACTACTGGGCAGCTTTTGAATCCTTACCACTAGAGGTATCTGTGTATTTATACGAAAGAGGACATCCAGGAGTATAGAAGTGACCGTAATTTGGCCGTACAATTTCGTTTTTATTGTAATTTTTCCTTTGAATGATGACTAATCGAAGTGCATGGGTAAGCACGTGGGGGTTTTACGGCATTTTGCAATTGAAAAAGGGGCTCGCATCAGACCGTGCCCTAACTCGGCAAGAAATACATTCGACGATTACCTAGGCTAATTACACCATGGGTAAAGCGCTTATCGCGGAAACATCACCCAGCAAAGAAGTGCCTAGCTAGACTGACAACATTTTTCTTTTCCGCTGAACTCTTCCTGGCTCACTCCATCTAAGTGCTCCTTATCTGAGTCAACGCAGGTTGTTGTGAAGAAGATATGATCCTGAAGCTGTAAAAAAATCCGACTCTGGAAGTCCAAGTTTGCCAGCGCACAGTTAATTCAATGTTTTGAGAAGAAAGTCGAATCCTTGAGCGAGTAATGGCGAGGCCTGATACGATAAGTTGGGACCCATTTGTTGTTCTAAGGTACCGAATGGTTACTGTTACCAAATTTTATGTATCTAAAGACGACAACGGTATTGCAACAACCTAATATTTAGCTTTTTCATGATGCAAAGAAAGAAATACTTCGAGAAGGTAGGAAAAATCAGAAAGAATCACTCGATAATTTGAGTATTGGCATTTCCCCAATAGCAAAACGGTTTTGAAACAATGTTCATAGGTAGCGTTTCCTTGTTGGCCTCGGTACAGTTCTGTAAGTCATTGTTCACAGTGTTCGAATCATCCGAATATTCGAATTCGCGAAAAGAATTATATACGTATCGACCATGAGAATTTCCGCACGCGCGAACGCGGATGCGAAAAGGTTTAGATGCGTATCGACGTAGTCAACTCCGCCCTCTCAGCGTTTCGCGTCGAGGTATCGAAAGCGCGAAACGATGCGCCGCCTCCACTTCACCTGGTCGATAGGTATACAATTCTCTCAAAAGGGTTCGCAGATTCGTTCGTTTCGAGCGTTTTTCGGCTATGGTGTGCAAAGGCGCGGCAACCTGTAAACACTGTTTTACTATTACCAAGTGCTTTATAAGTGCTACTTCATAAGATCACTTTTGGGTCATTTTGTGCTGAATTAATTACGAGCGATTCCTTGGAAATGCTTTATAGATCGGAATGTTGAGAGAAGTAAGGATGCGAAGTACAATAACTGGTGTTCAATTCGCAGCGTGGGGTGGTATGTTCAGCACGATCGATTGCGGGCTGGTTGCTATTCGAAAAAAGGTTTGTTAACTTTTTACGTTCACTTCATTCCTCCCAATGGTGAAGAAAATTTTTCTACAAATTTTCTAGTCTCTTAAGTTTGATCTTCGCTTCTTCCCTCATTTCGCTATTTTATACGGCAAGCGTGAATCTATGCGCTTCCATCGTCCGAATCCTTTTCTGTAGTAATGTCCTGACCCTTTAATCTTGGTCAGATTTTGAGCTCAGTCGTTTGTAAATTTTGCAACATCAAAGTAAAAATCCGCAT